GCTGCCTTCTCCTGCAGAGCATATGACCGAGCTCACCAAGGAGGGTGTTACCTCACTCTTCGGTGCAGTGCTGCCAGCAGTCAGCATGCGGGGGAGCTGCACGGGGGCACAGGGATCGGCCCAGAGGCCGCCAGCGACTCCGCAGGCGGGAGGTGCCAAGGGGCCACAGGACAAGAAGCCGGAGCGACCAACCAAGTTTCGGAAAGGGCAGGGCAAAGGCAAGCAACAGGCCAAGAGGCAGCTGGAGACATCAGGCGATTCTTCGGCTCAGGATCCGGACAACACGTTGGTTCCATTGCTCGCCAAGCTGTGCCTGCGTCACGAGGATTCCCTCAACATTCTCCAGCTGGACAGGGCTTACACGATGATCTTCAAAACCTCAGGAGAGGAGACGATGCTTGCGGCGATCAACGATCTCTCGAACAGGTGGAAAGAGCTACAGTCGTCGGGACAAACCGATTGCCCCAAGCGCATGGCCCTCTTCAAGGGTATCCTTCTCGAACTTCAGACGAGGGCTCAGGCTCTTTTGGAGGTGGAGGCCAAGGTGCAGCTGCTTGTGCAATACCATTGGATCACCAAGCAGGAGGGGAGAGAGCCAGCATGGATGCCATTGGTTTGGAGCGTAGCCCAGCAGAAGGAGATTGCTTGCCCCGACGTAGGTCCCCTACCACATTCGGATGCCATGAAAGCAATCGAGACATTGCTTGCGTTGGCCAGCGGACAGATCGTCCAAAGATTCCACCCGACGAGACAGTTAGCGGAGGAGTACACGGGCGAAGTGCTCGAGTTCAAGCTGGAGACATCGCTAAGGGGAGCCGAGGCCATGAAGGTTCACGAGGCGTTGGAACAGTTGTGCAGCTCGGCGATCTGGATGTTGGTGGGTGCCCGGCTCCGGCCACAGGGATTGAAACGGGATCCACTTGCGCGGAAGCTTCAGGAGCTGCTCTCCGGGGGGTGTTGGCCTTAAAATTACATAACACAGGCAACTGCTGCTATCAAAATGCGTTTGTGATGTCATGGTTGTGGGCCACGTTGACTGCATGCTCGCGTGAGGTCGGGGCACCAGTTGATGAAAGATTAGGCCGATGCTCAGGCCTCGTCAAAGCATTGCTATCGGGCGCACCCGATCGGTTGTCGAAGGTCTTCGCT